ACAATCAAATTGCATGAAAGGGTTTATAATGAAAAGCAGCAAACCTGTGCACTGTCCTCATCTTGAAGGTCTAAACCCAGGGCGAAGGAATTTTAACAGTTGCTCTTTTCAATTCTCTCGTTTGTTGTTTTCTTAATAATAGATGTTGACATCATTCCTGCTTTTTTATCAGTGCTGACATTCTCTATGATGTTCTTACTGTCATAACTGGTAATTGAGCTCAATCTTGCCACCACCTGTCCCAGCAGCTATATCAGGATTCCTGACCCACTGGCTGCTTCCACAGCCTTGGAATGTGATGGGTCGTTCATTTGTCCATGGGGCTTCCACCTCTCCCTAATTTAGCTTCATTTCTCCTTCCTGACTATAGTCTTTCCAGCTGGGCAGTCACTCTCCTTTTCAGCTGGAGCTGCCTAGGCATGTTTTCTAAGCTCTGTCTCCATTCAACACTCCTCCATTCGCTTTCCCTCTCCCGGAAATAGACCAAGTTTCTCTCTGCCTCTTGTTCTATTCTGTTGTCTTCCTCCTATGGGCTTTATTCCAGTCATTCTTTACTACCACTTTAATGGAAGGAAACAAGGAGAGGGAGAAAGGAAGGGAAGAAGAGATGTATGTATTTTGAATGGGAATTCCAGGCAGAAGTTCTTAATGCAGGGCATATACATTTTTCTAATGGCGGGTCCATGGATGTAATCAGTTTTTCACAGAAGTCTGTGATATTCGAAAGGCTCTCTCCCCACACAGTTAAACTGCTTATTATGGCCAAATAATCAAAAAGGGGAAACAATCATTATCTTTATAATTTTTCAAAGTGTGGACTTCATATGCCCTACATCATTAATCATGTAGGTTTCTTATTCCAAATACAGGTTCTTGGCCTTACTGAATTAAATTATCCGGGCCTACCTGCCCTCCCCTCCCCCATCTCCTGGCTAAATATGCATGCTTAACAAGCTCATAAGGTAATTTAATATTATATATAACAGAAATACAGGTGAATTATAATATTTACATACTTATTATACATAAACATGAAATATATATTATTTACAGACAAAATTATAGATGATAGACCTCCTATCAAAGTTTGGAAGAGACAGATAAAACCTTAATATCTGCCTATTTTAATCATATATTACATAACTGAAACTCTTGATGGTTCCCACTGAAATTTTGAAATATCTATAAAGTTAAATATTTTTGCAAGCAGCATTTAAATACATCATCTATAAGATGTAGCATCGAGGGGGCTGAAATTTGCATTCAAAGCCCATCTATCACAACTTCTGTTTATTACCACTTCCTCAAACTCCTGTCCACCATTCTACAAGTATAAGTATCAGAAATGGAAATTGGGTTTTCATGATCTTTTTTAAACAAGCATTTTTTAACTGCTTCCTATGATTTTTTTCTCCTCTGGGTGTTTTCAAAATTGATTTATCAGTGGAAAGATTTTCAGTTCCAGAATTTTGTTAGGTATTAAAGTCGGGCTAACAGGTCAGTTATTCCCACGTACCTTCTGTTTCATTTCCTCGATTATCCTAATGTTCTAAGCTGCTCAGTCTTCAAATTGCCCATGCAGTAGTTTCCTTTCTAAAATGTAGCTGTTGAACAGAGAAAGAACAGTTCCAAAATGACATCATAAAAATATAGAGGAATGATTTGTATAAAACTCTAATTGGCACTTTGTATGACATTTTAAAGGCATTAAGTATTTCAGACCCATTAAGAAAATTGTTATTATTGTACAAGTCACTTTAAAAGAATAAATTTACCCACCAGGCTGTTAAAGCCAAAGTATTTCCTTTGAACAGTGAATAATCTGTAGTGACGTCCTTATACTTTTATACTGTAATTAGAATTAATAACTTACATGTTGCAAATATTGCTTCTAAATAGAACTACTGCTGTGTATTTTGTGAAGTTGATCTTTCTTAGGGTTGGAGATCAGCTTTTTTGGCAGCGTGATTCATTTCCTGGCTATATGCTTTATTGTTCTGACTTACACAGGAAAGGATGAACAAAATTTTGTAGGGCAATCTATAATCCTCACAAGTATTAAATTCTGTCAGTGTTTTTTTTTTTTTTTTCTTGCGCATACATTTCCACTCCGTTGCGGCATTCTCATCTTCATTTTGAGACTTCTCTATTCTAGATGTATCAGCTACTAATTGAGCATTTAGCGTAACACAGATATGATGTATACAGAAATGCATTCAAGAAAAGATCAAACCAGGAGGCTGCCTATCTGCAGTTGGACTTTAACCTGCTTGCTTTTAATAACTCTTAAATATGGATCCCAATGTATAGGCTTGGTGTGAATATCATTAAACCTTTCCCACTGTTCCCTTAAGCTTTGAATGTTCATTGATCTGTGAAGATAGCAAATGGATAAATAAACTTAGACCTGGCAAATCAGAGAGACTTTAGAAATAGAGCTAATCTTGACTTTTCTTTAATGCAAAGATTTATGTTGCCTGGTATATTTATTTTTTTAAAACAAGAAGACAGAAATTAAAATACCACACATAAACTGACTAGCATTATCTTTTAATGAATTAAAAAGTGGTGGGGTTATTAACGTGTATCCTAGCCTGCTTGTCTTTCTACCTTCATTTCCCATTTGCTGGTAGTTGCATGAATTTTATTTGGCCTGAACCCCAGAGTACAAAAGAGAGACAATGAAGAGAGAAGGCACCAAGGGAGAGGGACCCTGAGGGCTGAGATAATTGTTCCCGCCACTCACTTTAATCCACGTATTGTTTTTCTGAACCTTCTTTTTGGTGAGTGTTCAGCTATGTTCAGTGTTGCCAAAAAGCAAGGAAGATGAACGTTAAAAGGACTCTTTGGCTTGAGGCAACCAGAAGCCACTGGTGACCTTGTGAAATCAGGTCCTGTAGAAAGGTAAGGATACAGTTCAGATGTCTGCTGGGTGAGTCGTGAAAGGGGAGGTTGGGAAGTGTAGGAATTGGAATTTAGTGAAAGTGGGCCAGTCTGTCAAGAAGCTCAGCAACCATCGCTAGAAGTGGAGCTCCTCAGGGCCCTGTTTACCAAGAAACCTCCTAGAGTTGTTCAGTGCACAACCTGAACAAACAGAAGCCAGGACCTAGTATTCATATTATTTATTCTTTGCAACACCTAACACAGAACATATCTGACATTAAGAGCTAATGAATGATCCCTGGATAAGTGAAAGAAAGAACATACACAAAGGAGGGAAGAAAGGAGTTTTACGAAGAGTCTATTGATAAGAACCATGTTTATATTTTGAAGGTTATATAGAGTTTTTGTTCAATTTTATTTTGAGAATTAGGCAGAGTTAGAAAGAAACACAGTAATAATAATAATACAGCCTTGTACTAGCATGAAGACTGATGGCTTATAGAGTCTTTTTTTCATATTCATTATCTATTTCTTCATGGAAAAGTGCAGCATAGGACATTTAGGAAATAATTGTAAATTAAAGAACATTGAAGGTGAGGCTTGAAATAAAAATGTAGAAGAAGTTCTTAAAGTAGATTTCTAACTAATGTTAAATCATGATGTTGCGTAACTAAAGAGAAAGACTAAACTACACCCAGGAGTGGCCCTGGATCAGAATGGGTAAGTAGAAGCACAGCATATATAGCCATTTATACATCATAAAATCATCCTGTTTCACCACAATTCCATGTGTATCTGAGCTGTGTACAGCTCGGTGTAGTATTCTAGGCTTCCTATTTAAAGTTGCACCAGAGAGCAGAAATTTTAAGAATTCCGAGAAGAGATATATAGATTATTAAAGACGAAAGAAATAGGATCTACTATAAAATGTTCAAATGGAACTTTGGTAGACCCTTATTCATTGTGTTAGAATTCATGATGATTCACATAATATAGCTGCATAAGGGGAAGGGCTGATTTTAATAATTTCAATTGTAATTATCTTTAAGAAGAGAGATTTAAATTTGGCTCCAAGCATAACACCAGATCTTCATCAAATACTCTTTGGTTTATCTAGTTCGGCCTCCCTGAAGGGAAAGGGCATTCTAACAAAATTTTGGAGTGGTTAGTGCCTGACTTTTTGCAGCAAGGACAGAATGAAAAGAAACGCACCAACCCATTCAGACTAAGTAAGCAGTGGAGGAGTTCATTTAAACAGGGGTTGTCAGAGGAAGTCATGGAATCTACTTCCCTGGAGAGTTTTTAAAATAGGCAAGGCACTCATCTTTCTGGGATGATTTCAGCCTGCAGAGTAGCTAAAGGACAGCCACAGGCCCTCTCAGGTTCCCTTCTACCTCTACAAGTCTGTAGGCTAAAACAATATCCCAGAAGGCCTCTTTGGCAGGGCAAGCTACAGTCACCCAGGCTCATGTCTATCTATGATATTTTCTCACTGCATGGAATGATAAGTATAGGAAGGAGGGTGGGGTCGGAAACATTCCTCAACCACACTCTGTTGGCATTGCCAAGACAGGCATTCCCTCTGCCAGCATTGGCTGAATGCAAGAGGGATGCCAGCTAGTACAGGATGATCATGCTCGGTTGGATTTCATGTGTCCCATTGTCTTACGGTGTGTGGTATGTGTATGTCTGAAAATAGGATAAGTAAAATGAATTAGAAAGAAAATTCAGTTAAAAATTAGGAAAACAAATGGGGAAAGAACCTGCATATTCTCTTGAGGTTAGACTCTAACATCAAGCATTCGATCCTAACATTTAGCATTTGATTTGAAAGGTTCCTTTTGGGTCCGAGGCCTATCCTATCCAGGATTGTGGTCTGTCATGAGCAGATGGGGTTTCCCTCTTAGAAAATGAGCTTGGTTCCAGTTTCCTAGAGCCTTTGGGTAATGGCCGGTTGCTCACAAGAGCTGAGGAGACAGCGTAGCTGACAGGCACAGTCAGAGGCAGCTTTAAATATCACGCACCCTATCATTTGGTGGGTGGGAGTGTTGTCGCTCCCTGTGCTTCCACTTCAACAAAGAAAGTGGAGGGTTGCTAGAAAACAAGGTTGCTCCGTCTTAAGCATTATGCTGAATTCTTTTTAGAGAAGTGGATTTTTAATGAAGAATTTTAGCCGAAAATATTTTCCAAATTTATTTAGAAAATGTATTTATCCAAGGAAAGTAATTTAAGCATTGTAGCAGGTAACTAGAATCTGTAGAATGAGAACAACTTTCTCTAAGAAAAATCAATCTTCTTTATTCATCAAGTGGTCTCAGGTGCCCTGTGTGGGGTGGGGTCTTTGCCAATGCCACAGTTACGCAGGCTGCTCAGAGAGACACTGGACCTGGCAACCTACTGCCCAGCTAATTTACAACCAGGTGACAGGTGGTGAAACTATGATTTTGTTCTTTTTAAATGGTTCTTTCTTTCCCATAAGTGCTGCTTTTTGGAAAGGTCACTTTCGTTTTCTTTGGGAAAATGAGCTTTTTCTTTCTCTCCCAAATGCTAAGTTGATGCCCTTCTCCAGAAGTCTTCCTATTAATTGAGTTGGCCTGAAGGTCATCAACTATAATCAATATGAAGGGTTGCTGCGAGGTGCTAATTGACACTCCCAAAGAGGAATAGTGTCAACAATCAATAAAGAGGACAGAGCACTGGTAGATTTATGGCTTGGATTTTGAAAAGGTATGGGAATGCCCAGTGATGTTTTCCTCCCCCCCGGTACTCCTTTTGAATGTTAATGCTTTCTTGAAGATGATTTCAGACACACTGCTAGGATACTGCCTCTACTCACTGAAGCAGAATCCTCTGAAGAGTTGCTGAGGCAGAACTGAAATCATGGCTCACCTCAAAGAAGCAGCAGTATTGGCCGTTAACGATGCCTCATACAGAAAGACGGTGCTCCTTTAACTCGGGGTTTTAATGGGAAGTTTCTAAGCCTGAAACAACAGCTTTAGACCTGGGGTGTGCCATCAACTGCCTTGCAGCTACCACTGTCTACTGCTTTCACACAGCGTGGTCGAGAAGAATGGAAACTAAAGAGGCTCGTAACTACCTGTAACTGTTCCACCAGGACATGGATCAAGTGTTTGTTCAGCCAGAGCCAGGTACTTGACCCAACCTGTATCTTTGACGGGCTAATTAAATGCTTTTCTCTAACTTTACAATTGATGCATGAGCAATCATCGCATACATGCCTTTCGAATCATAGTTCTGAATTTAGATCTAGCTGTTAGATAAGTCTAATTAAACAGTTGCCAGGTAAAGTTGAGAAGAGAGGGGGTAAAATGTAATGATGCCTTTATTTTTAAAGCATGGTTAAGTTTATAATGTTATTGATACTGGATGAAGAAGTAGTAAAACAGGCTTTTTTTTCTTTCCTAAGCTGCAGTAATTTATTTCTGAAAGCTGCTTGCCCATTATCATATTTTTTTTTCAGTCACCTAAAACGTCCAACCTTCCAAAATGTAACGAGGTTGTTCTGATTTGTTTACAAAGGATCACAACTCAACCACTCTTATTGATAGCGTTGACTGTCCTTGGCTGATAAGCTGTGTGCAGCACTAGCCTTTTGAGGTATCAGCAAGTAGCTGTTTTCACTATGAAACACACAAAGAAAGACAAAGAAAGCCAAGTGAAACAGTAGGGCTTATGATTTGAAGTTAAAAGTTCCAGTTTGCTAAGGGTGCCTTCTGACACCACTGATTCCTGACTGAGCACCCTCATGGTATTTTCTGATGTTCTCAGCTAGGCAGCAGCCTTGCCCTGCAGTCCCTTAAAAATTCCTCAAGCAGATATTAGGAGGAAGATGAAGATGGAGAAGAAGTAAAGCTGAGATTGGGGCTGAGGCTGAAGAGAAAGGTCTCCTGTTGACCCAGAGCTTACAAGCAGCAGCGAGTTGAGAATAACAGGGTCCACTCCCAGCCCAAGCAGACGTGTCTGCAGGCTGACTTTGCAGGAACAAGCAGAGAACAGACTTCCAGTGCAGCAGTGGGGGCTGGCAACAGTTCTGAAACTGCCTGTTGACATTTGTAGCTGAAGACATCCCCATGTTTATAAAATCATTGTTCGTAGGCTTTCCCCTAGTAGACTTGAGTCTATGTTTTGAGAGTATAAAATAATATTTACCCTTAGTTGTCCTGTGAATTTTGAAGCATCAGGGCTATTGAATTGGAACAGGAGGACTGTTCTTGGAAAAAAAAAAAAAACGTATAGACATTGCTGTGTGTTTATATGAGCCAAAAACAAGGGGAGTGGGAGGATTTAAAATCTATGAAACACCTAGAAAGAGCCAGGAAATCTTTACCTGAAGTTCTTTGCTGGTAAACAAGAGGGCCATGAATTATTTGAATTTAAATGAAATATTTTATATCTTTGTGTGTATATCCTGTATTTACTGTTCACTAGAATAACACACAGAATTTCTAAAAGATTTGTAGGGGAATAATATTTGCTTATGTGGTGATTCCGTTGCTTAGATAATGAGGTGGCTTATGCAGATGGCTCACAATTGTGGTGGGGATGGATAACAGGATCATTTGGGAGATTTACACATCTAGGGTGGGTGAGTGGGTTGGAGAATGAAATGTACTTTGAGAGACTACAGTTATACAAACAGGAATGCAGCCCAGGCTTCCTTTAGCGCTAAAAGTAGAGAGGGATTCTATTTAGGCTCAGTATCAGGATGTGTATTACTTGAATCATTCAAAGCCATGTTAACATTTCCACAGTTAACTTCAGAACTGTTGCAGAATAATGCAGCATTTTGAGTAAGTTTGTCTCTGCCAGTCACTGCAAATTCAGTCCTGCCTAGCTAGGCAATTCCACTCCTGTTAAAGTCTACAGATTGGTCTTGCTAGTCTGCCAGATAAATATAAATAAGGTTCATAGTATATCTTTGTAGGATAAAGTGTCATGTCCATCACATGTGAATGGAAACTGGACAAGCCCATGGGTGTCCTTGCTCAATGGATGGGCTGTTTTGACACCTACTTTTGAAACCACGTCAAGTCACGTAACTAGGTTTCTGACCCGGAAGTTTTAAAAATTAGGTACCTCAATTATGTGGTTTAGGAGTACTTAAAATACAGACAGCATTGCTTCACTGTGCCCTACAGGCCATTAACACCTGAGGGACAACACCTTCAGTTCATTCCAACATGCCAGTGAAAAACTTGGGATCTGACATCCCTTGGAGGTGGGGTGGTGGGGGTGGGGGGCGCTACCTTTTTGGCAACTGGTGTTTATAATTCTTAGCAGTTTATTTATAATTTTCATACCTTAGTGTGCTTGATCACATAATAGAAATGAAAAATATTTATCATTTTGCACAAAAATGGTGTAAAGAGAAAACACTCATTCATCCCCACCTATTTATCAAACCCCCACTATGTGCCAGGCAGGACTACACAGGTACTGTAACTATTAATATGATCATTGCACCCTACTGCAAAAGGGTGGGCTCTTGAGTTGATGACATGTAGAATCAAGTCCTTGTGTGTGGCTCCACAGAACAAGGTGTCCAATGCACTTAAGTAATTCTGTTTCTGTCACTAAAAAAAGAAAGAAAGAAAAGAAACATGTCATTGCTTTAAGATAATTTTCTTAAGAGAAAGTATTTTTTCCTTACTGTGAAATTGTATAATGAGATGCAAATGAAATAAAATGTCCAAGGGATCCAAGTGTGAGAAGGGTACATGTTGACATTAATAGTTTTCATGTAAGACATTTGGATTCAGGATATTTTAAATGGCTGCCCTTCCCCACCAAAAAGTAGATTAGGTAAGAAAAAATTGACTTCTTAAATAAAAGGGTAACTGTCTATCTCTGGCTGATTTTTATATTTCAGATCCACCTATCAACACGGAGGCCAAGGAAAATTTACAGAGCCAAATAACTATGGCTCTTCAAATGACAAGATCTGTGGTTTTAACGTGTCATTGTGACTTGAACTAGCTGTGATTCTTTCAAACAAGACTTACTTCAAATGTGATGGTCCAGCACCTCAGTCTGGCTGCATGACTTGTGCTTTTGTTTTTCCTCTCTGCATCAGTTAGTTGGCGCCTTGGATTTTGAATTCAGTTCCCTGGACTATAAGGGGTTGAAGATTTGATTTAACCTATATGTAAAAACGCAATGATCCCAGAACAGCAAATAATTCCTCAAGGAGCTTATTGTATAATAAGGTGGAGATAAACACCGTCAAGACTTGCACTGTAATCAGTGCTGCCACAGAGTACTGGTGATGTCTCTGGAGATGGAGTAGAAAATACCCCATCCTTAGTGAAGGCAGACAAAGAAGGCCCCACTCAGAACGGGGTATTTGGTGTGAACCCTAAGGGAGGGAGAGATGGAAAGAAAGAGAGGAAAGATGCTTGCCTCATTATGCTTGCCTCCTCTCTTTCTCTCCACAGATGGAAAGAAGGAGAGGAGGCAAGTATTAGGAGGTAGGAAACCTGGAGTCATTCAGGGCACAGCAGGTATTGGATCAAGCTGAAAAATAGACAAAATGAGGACATTCTCCACAGGTGTCCAACACTCAGTTACATGGAAGTTTATTCTGATCAACACATCGGCCATTTTACTGAGATCTAAATGTGATTTGGTGTTGGCTCCTTCCTAAACTTATAAAAATAAAACTCCGATCTTAAAAATTCCATTGTCAGCGTAGGTCCTAATTTGTGGTCCAGAAAACATCTGGGCATCAGGCCCACAAGGGGGTTAATGGGCTGTGGACACTGGGGTGCAAAGGTTTTCTGAGGGAAGAAGTGGTGAGATCTGGGCTTAGAAAGATGAATCAAGATGCAGTGTGTAGGAAGTATGGGCAAGGGAAGAGGAAAGCCACTTTGAAAATTACTCAAACTAAAGCGAGCGGCTGAGAGTGCGAATGACCGTGGCTGTAACGACTGTGCTCACTGGACTTCATAAGTCATTACGGTTGTCTTCTGTTTTTCTCAATATCACAAGGGAGCTTGACTCGAGCAAAGGAATGTATTATATGACTTTTGAAAAGGGTATCTTTTAATTAAGGTTTTCTTTAATTTTTCAGTGTTAAAATTAGACTTTATTTCCTGAGCACCCACAAATGGACCTGACAAAGGGAAGACACAGATGTACTGTGTGATGGGGAACGTCCGTCAGGATTAAAATACGGCCGTGAGTAACTGTGGTCCTTCTTTATACTTAAAATAGCTGCCATGTGTTATTATGAAGATTTCTGATGGTAGTGTCAAAATCCTTTGAAATAATAGACTTACACAGATTTCCTTGGTCATCTAAAAGACAGATGTCATTATTCAGTTAAAAGCAACCTTGCACATTTTCTAAGAATCATTTTTACCAAAAAGGGACATTTTACTGCAAGACAGTCATTTAAAACATTTACATGTCCTGAGATATTTTTGTATTGTGGTAGCAAAATGACTACACTTATTTCTTTTTCTCCACCTTATAATAGCTGATGTGTCCTTCAACTTATACATGCTTTTGGAGCTTTCTATATTGGTAAATTATTGATTAGCTGATTGCAGGTTTAAAATCAAGCAGACTCTTCCGGAGGTTTCAATCAGTCCTGGGAAAAATTGTGAAAGAGTCAGCACTGGTTTCTGGATCTCTTTATCCCTTTAGCAACCATCTCCTGATTGTCTCTACCCACCATCCCTCATCCCTCCCCCAAGGCTCTCCAGTGGGCCCCCTGCTCACACCACCATGCCTGTCTTCCTGTCCTGTCCAGGAGTCCCTCATTCCCAACAAGGTCTTCCTTCAATCGCCTTTCTACTTACCACACTTCCCCCTCCTTCAGGCGGGAACAGTCCTCACAAATTCCTGCTAGCACATTAATGTGCCACTTTCCTAGGTAAAATATTGCAATTTAATAGGAGACGTTGACACTTGGACCAAGAGCAGTTATTTTTATAGGAACTTAGGCACCACAGTGTGCTGGGGGATGAGAGGTTTACAACTCTCAATGTGCTACAGAGTTTAAAAAATTCTTTGACCTCTATTTGCTCATAATTTGGTATATTAGGAAGGGTTTGGTGATGAAGATGTTGGAGAATACACATAGTTATATTTTAGGAGGCTTCTCAATGCAAAGAGGGCTAACCCTTCCTTTGTACCTTGCCTTTTAATCAGTAGAGGATGGTAAAACTTCAAAATAAAACTGATTTTAAAAATCATTCTAATACTTGGCATCCTCATGCAGAATCTGAGTCCCAGAGTCATTCCCAGGGTGGTTGAAGAGGCAGATCTGGCAGATAATCTGAATCAGGATGAGTAAGTTATTTGCTGGAGTTTCTGGAATGATTGCCTGTCACTGCAGCCCCCAAATGAATGGTTTGCTCGCTCTAAATCCTGAGTTGTGGGTGAAGCCTAGAAAGTATGACAGTTCATCCAGGAGAGAAGGATCTGGCATTTGCCCTGTATGGAAGAGAAGGCTGGGGAAGACTACTTCTGGGCCCACAATGTTGCTCATCAAGTGGAGACCCCCGGTGGGAAGGGAGGGACTGAGCAAAGTATCGCGGTACTAGTCAGCCTGCTTGTGCAGAGGAGGTCATTCTCAAGGACTCAAAAGGTTCTGTATCTAGTTCTTGTCTGATTTTTTGGATTTCACAGATCCAGAAATCCTTATGTCAATTTATACCGTTAATGGTCTTTTTTTTCTTATATTTCCTTCTTGGATTATGTGGTGTTTTCCTAAAGAACTTTCTGAAAATGGCCGGGTGTAGTGGCTCATGCCTGTAATCCCAGCACTTTGGGAGGCTGAGGCGGGCAGCTCACCTGAGGTTGGGAGTTCAAGACCAGCCTGTCCAGCATGGAAAAATCCCGGCCTACTAAAAATACAAAATTAGCTGAGCATGGTGGCACATGCCTGTAATCCCAGCTACTCAGGAGGCTGAGGCAGGAGAATCACTTGAACCTGGGAGGTGGAAGTTGGGGTGAGCCGAGATCGCACCATTGCCCTCCAGCTTGGGCAACAAGAGCAAAACTCCATCTCAAAAAAAAAAAAGGAAGAACTTCTTGTCTCAGCTCTGTTGAGAATGGGCAAAGAACAGGACTCTGGCTTCACTTGGGTTGGAGGGAAAAAGGACATGGAACGAGATTCTGATAATCCAGCAAAGAGAGCAGGGATCACAATGAGAGGATCCTCAGTAGGATATGAAAATGCAGAAGGAGTACGTCAGGGATGGCCTCAGCATCTGCTCCTCTGTCATCAGTGGGCTTTTCTTTGGCCCAGTCCTTGGAGAATTTTATGTTTCATATGATTAAGTATAGTTTGAATCTTTTTGGTGGACACAGGAGGCCCTGTCTGATGTGCTGAGGAGACCTGCATTGGAGACTCTGGCCTCCCTTTCTGCCCCTCCTTTCCTGGCCCACAAGGAATTAATACCCAAGGCTGGGAGGGTGCTTAGAAACAAGCAAACCAAAACAAAAGCCAGTGCATTAACATCCTCTAAATTCCTAAAGAGCTTATTTATTAAAAATGCAGTCAAATTTTTATCCCAATTTTACTTCAAAACAAACATGAATTATAAATGAGTTTTGCAACTGTTCTAGCCTTTAAAAAAATTCAAAGTGATAGAGCTGCAAAAATGATGCATTACCCAACTGGTAACTCCTTCCTCCCAGATCCTGGCTGAGATCTCCCTTATAAACTGTTTTTTAAACTGTGATTTTATAAACTTTGAAGTGTCAATATAATGCAGACTGTTATGCTATGATTACTAATGCTGTACTTGAAGGTAATGATTATAAGTTAACTGAAGAAACATTGTATTGATACTTTAGGTCACATATTCTATTTTTATTTGGTTGTTTATTTTCATTGAACAAAATTTATTTTGTGTCCGTGTTAATTTCCATAATTAGTTACTGTGCTGTGTAATTTTTATTATAAATGAATTCATAATAAATGTTATTTAATTTTCTATACAGTAGTGTCTAATGTATATACTTTTGTTTACAATGTGATTTAAGTAGATTTACTTCAGTATCTGAAGCTTTTAATGACCTCTGTGTATACTTGTCATGTATATACTTGTATATTTCTATGGTAATATATACTTGTATATTTATACAGTGATATCTATATATCTAAGTTTTTCCACCAGTAAAATTAAAATAGTGTTAGCTTGTCCTTTTCCTTCTCTTCCTCTGTTCCAAATAGTCTTAAACGGTAGGAAACCACTGTAAGGAAAACTATCCTTTTGAAAATATGCATCGATCAATTCCTTTCTCTTGGCTTAATTCTCTAGGTGCTTCCAAGGGTCAAGTATTGAACCTGGTCTTTGTTTTCTGAGGAAAAAAGAAAAAGCAACAGTAACTTGATGGTTTGGGAGTCTGAGATACCTCCGTTCTCCCTTGGCTCAGGCAGTAGAAAGGAAAGGAGAAGCAGCATAGCTCCCTTAGTTGTATCTTAGGTGAAGCAACACTTGGCTTTGTTTGTTTTTCTTTTTTTGTATACTTTTCAAAGGGTTTTCACAGCTCTTCATCCTGATTACAGCACCATGAAAGATGCAAGCATTTCTACTTGCATTTTTACAGTTTAGTGACCTCTCCAAGGTCCCACACTTATTTTGCAGTAAAGTGGAGCCCGGAGTCCAGAACCTGACGCTCCTGGAGAAGGTTTCTATTTTAAGCACCTTTTCTGCCTCAGTTTCCTTGCACTGGGGCTACAGAGATCCCTGCTTTCATGAAGCTCGCAGTAAAGTGGCTAACGTGTGTCAGTTTAGCCACGGTGCTGGCTGAGGCTCGCTCAGTGGTGCTATCATAAGAACAATGTGAGAGTAATATTAGTGGAGCAGAGCTGAAGGAGACTTGGCAGGGGAGGCTGGGTTCGGATGTCAAGTTGGCAGCACACCCTGAGGTCAATATTACTGTGCACATTTCTTATCTTCTATATTATAGTTGTACTCCCTGCCCATCCCTCCTGGCCCCAGGTGGCTCTTCTGAGAACAATCTGGTAATTTCATGCAAGAGTAAAATATCTTTCCCCATAATTATACAGAATCGAGTATCTCTGGTGAAAAAGAAAGCTGGTTTACAGATTTCTTTTTCTCTCTAAAAAATAGGACTGTGAACCTAAAAAATAAGGGTGCTATTTTATAGGTATTCCCTTCCCTTCCTTTTTCCCTGCAGATAACTCAGCCTCTCCAGAGTGCAGCCACCATGACCTCTGCAGATTGATGATGGAAGAAAAGGAAACCAGGATATCCCGTGCTCTGGCTTCCCTGGACCATGGATGGAGGACAGCCCATCCCTTCATCCCTAGTGCCCCTTGGGAACATATCAGCAGATTCTAGCATGTCCCTGGAGCAGAAAACGACATTTGTTTTTGTGATTTTGTTGTTTATCTTCTTGGGCATTCTCATTGTCCGGTGCTTCCGGATTCTTTTGGATCCATATCGAAGCATGCCAACCTCTACCTGGGCTGATGGACTTGAAGGCCTGGAGAAAGGGCAGTTCGACCATGCCCTTGCTTAGAAGGGATGGCGCAGGATCTCCTCCTGAGGAGATGAAGTGCTTCGTGTCTTGGCGAGGATTCCCTTTATGTAGTGTTTTCAACAAATCAAATTTAAACAATGTTTGGTCCCAGGATCATAATCCATTATTCCATAAATATGCAGTTGGATTAAAGGCATTTGGGGATGTTGGAAATGGACATTTATATAACTAACCCAAAATAAGAAGGTTTAAATTTTTATGTTTGCTCAATGAATGCTCTTAAACTTGTGTGATTGTGAAACCAAGAGCATCAATACTGACATAGATTTGCCATCAAACACACACCACCTGATCTGACTAAAGTATAAAAGACTAGAAAGGATCTCATATGAATCTGGTGACAAGATCAGGAAGAGATTTCCTTGCTCTAATTATGTCTATATTTGTTTTATTTCATGCGCATCTATCTGGGTCCTGAGCAGAATGAGGAAGATTGCGCTGAATGGACCCAAAGTAGTTCCTTGTTTTCTCCTAAAGCAGGGAGCACTGGGAAGCAATGGCAAAGCTTAAGAGATGGTTCTGTCCTTGGTAAATGTGAGTGAGAATTGCGTTTAAGGCTACAGAGTTTTAAAAACTATTTACCAAGCCAACTACATTATATGTATTCATATTAATAACATGTGTAGAGGTAGCTATACATTACTTGAATTTACTCTTTACACAAATGATTTAAATAATAGGCTGCAAGTGCAGCTTCAAGTTTTTTTTTTAATGAAAAGTCAATTGTTTAGAGGAGAAGACTTTTAGTCTTCAGAGGGATGTGTATTTATGATTGTATATAGTCACCAAATAAAACTTTTCAAGAAACAGAAATGCTTCCTCTCTTATTTCACCAGAACTAATGCACTGAGGGTGCTACCTGGTACTGAGTGCCGAGGCTTAACATTTTTCCAAGAGAGGAGAAAAGCACTAACAGCATGAAAGGTCATCTAATGCATCCCTCTCCCATTTCAAGAAGAGCGCCTATAAATTGTCCTGCACAGATAAAACTGATAGTTTTTAAGACCACCAAAAAGGGAGAAGTGAATACCTCTTATTTCAACTTTTATTGGAAGGAAAAGCTTGTATCTAAACCAACCCTGCAGACAACTCAGCCTAAACCAACCGTGTTAGGCTGTATTTATAATCTCTGTCTTCTAATTTTCTCCTCAGCTAGTCATTACCTTTTTTAATTAAAAAAAAGCACACTTCTTTAACCTATTAATTGTAAGATTTTCTTTTTTTTTTTCAAAGGTACTGTGTCGTGTGTGTCCTCATTAATTTTTTTTGTATTTTTGTTAGAGTCTGTTCAAACCCACTTATGTATTTATGGAGCTCCTGCTTTGAGCCTGGAATTGCTAGCACCAGAGAGAGAGAAAACAGACAGGGCCAGTTCTTAATGTTGAATACTTTTCTACCTTGTTGGATGGAGAATACATTTAAAAAGGCATATGACTGAAACATTGTTTAAATGACTAACATGGACTTGATGGTTCCCAAATCATCAGAATCAACTGGGGAGCTTAATATGTGTGCTAATTTGTATTATTTTTTTACATTCTATTTTTATTTTTATTTTTTAAGAGATGTATTTTTTTTTACATTCTATTTTTATTTTTATTTTTTTAAGAGATGGGATCTTGCTCTTTCGCCCACTGGAGTGCAGTGGCACAATAGCTAATTTTCATTATAAAAGTTGTACATCATCATGGCAAAAAATTTATTATATAATATGGAAAAATATAAACAGCACTAGTCAAAATTCTACCAGCTTGGGTCACCCTAACTCCTAACTCCAATTTTTATTGGAGTTTATTGACAGTGGACATTATTACAGCGTTTCATCCCTAGGGGTTGATTCTGTAGAGTTGGGTTAGTGAACAAATGCTCCAAGAGATAAAACATGAGGAAATATGAATGTAGCCAAAATAATTAAAGAAATATCCAGGAGACAATGGCTCAAGTATAATTATGCGTGTTTAAGTGCTTGGCATAAAGTTTAATGCAATGTAAGTTGTTATTACGAAATAAAATAGATCTTGACCTATGATGGAGGTAGTTGATGGAGGTAGTTTAGACATGTGCAAAGGAAAGGAAGAGGGAAAACCATAGAATAAGGAAACAGAGGTATGGGTGTGAGGCTCAAGGCAGGAGTACAGCCTGGCTGGAGTAGAGAGTTGGAGAGGTAGCTGTAGCTCCTACGGGAAGGACAAAGGCAGAGCTAGACCTCAGAGGGTCCTAAACAGAAAAATCAAGGGTGGGAGTCACCGTAGATTCACGAGATAAAAATGACCTAAAGAGTGGTGTGTCAGTTCCAGCTTCCGTGCCCTTCCTCAGGGCAACACTAGGATCCATTTCTATAATGGGAACATGCTGAAATAGCCACCTGCCCCCTAAGAGGCCTTTGAGCACAGGCATTGCCTACAAGTGCCACAGGGCCTCCCAAAGCCTGCCCTTCTTTCACTCCTTCCTTTATTTCCCACTCTATTTTTGTTTTCCCTTCTTAGATTACTGCTCCTTGCTCAACCTCCCCTCACTGGCTCTCCTGCTTCCTCCCTTGTCCAGAGCGAGAGTACCAAGTGAATAAAAGCTTTGGGCTATTCACAGTAAATTGATCCCCCCGAAAGAAGTGCTAACTCTCTGTTTTAATTACTCCGGGCTTCTTGGAGTGAACAACTTATTCTCAAAAGGTCACATAAGCCCTCTCTTTCCTGGCTTTCTGGCTAAAGGAGTTACAGTGCAACACTTTGCCTATCTCACAAGATATTTATACCGAGTGCAGCTGGCCTTCATGAGGTGTATCTGCATCCCAGGATGGGGGAAAGAAACCCTGGACTTTCCCAAGGTCACTCTCTAGAATAGACCTGCCTTTTGATTCAGAAAAATGCGCAACCTCACTCTTAGCCTGAGCTCGAAATCACAACCCTGTGTTTTATTCCCCCAGGGATCCCAAGTTCTAGATCAACATTTCTCCCTCCAAGAGACCTTTTAAAATATTTTAAACACTGCGTAAAGCAAGTTTAACTTGGGTGCGAAGGAGCCTAACTTGACCCTGCTGTTAAATTAATAAACATTAATAAACATTTCAAGACAGGCAATTCTTTTGCTATTTTTAAGGGTGAAGGCTGAGGCAAAACAAACAATTTTAGGAGGCAAAACTTAGAGCAGATGTTTATGTATGCAGAAAAAATATGTATTCAAGTTCCTTTTATATTGGATTCATTGCACAGTGTTTTACTGAAACACTGAAGCTTTTCTTAATGTGAACATATTGATAAATTTGGTACAATGAGAAATTTCACTTGTTTACCATAAACTACTTTTTTAAAAAAACCTTATAGTTTCAAGATGTCAACTTTCAGAATTGACATGTAAAAGATATTGAAACACAGTTATTTTAAATAAATAGTCTAAGCCCAAAAACATTGAATAAAACCTAAGATATGATTTGTGAGATGTTTGTCGACCAAGAAAAATTATGTAAGATGGGTGTCTCAGTTATTGATTAATCAGAAAGTTGTAGAGTTGAGCCATGATCTCCAGAAAGTACCCAAATGACTATACGTGTGTATGCGATCCAGGATCCAACTGACCTACTCCAGAAGAGATTTTGTTTTGTTTTGTTTTGAGATGGAAAAGGAGAACCCTCTAAACTTTGTATTTCCCGTTTCTAACAAGAATAAATGAATTATTTTCAGAGAGGGGTGTGCTCTGAGGACATGAGGCCTCCCCATATGGCATCTTGCTCTGGTCAGGTGAACCAAGCCCAATACTTTAGCCAGTCTTTAGTCCTTTCCAAGGTCATGTTCTTATAATAAAGTTCCCAGCTGCATTTAGTACAGTGGAAATTTTGCCTTCAGTTTCCTGCTATAAACTGTACTCATGTCTTTTTCTAAAGCACCTCAAGATCATCTTAAATCCCTCCATCCCACAGCCTTTCTCAATATCCTGATTGATGTTTCTCTACTTTCTGTGCTTCAGAGTAAGAGAAATTCCCTTTAAACTATCTTTTCAAAGAGATTTCCACCCTTATTCTCTTCTAGGCCCTATGACCAGCCCCAGAGCACCAAACTTATGCCAGCTTTTAAGAAAGAGGCTCTTCCTGGGTTCTTTGGAGTTTGAAAAGCTGGAAAGAGACATTGCTGTCATCTATTTCAACCTCCTCATTTTACACACAAAGAAACAGAGAAGCAGAGAGGTCATATGGTATGACCATGGCCACTTCTCCACCCACTGGTTTTAGCTGTAGCAACTTACATATGTGGTGTGCAAATGGGTTCAAACAGAAGGGCCAGTTGATGAAACCATACATAAAAATATCCATTTGTTAATTGACATGAAAGTTATAATAATCTTAAATAGTCTCTTTTGGCAGGGATGAGGGAAGACATATTTTGTTTCTGAAAAAAGTCCTATGGATGTTGTATTTTCTTTTGCAATATTCTGAAGCTTCAGTTTAGGTGTCCAGGCAACGAGAAGTATTTCCAGTTAGATTGTTGAGAATGGCTTAACAAAGATTCTGTTTCTCAAAACACAGGATAATCAATCTAGGAAAAAGAATCAAAGTTAGTTTCTTTTTTTGTTTTTCTTTTTAAAAAATTTCCAAGTAGATTATTGAGCTGTTTTTCTTAGCTGAAGAAGCTTGACAAGGGATATTACAACATAAGTTTATAAAGGTTCTGGATACTGCTCTGTCTATGGCTTATCAAAGAGTTATCTGGATCCTCTTGGGACATAGATGTGACTTCAGAAAATATACAATTAAGTATTTCAAGTTTGAAAGTACACTTTATCCTTTTCTCTTCTGCCTTTTTTCCTAGTTACTTCACTTCTTTTTCTCCCTCTACTTTCTGATAACTGGAGTGCTGGAAGAAGTTTGATATAACCACTACATTCAGTGATTCTCTGGTATATTAATATTTTCCTCAATAGTCAACAACAAGTGGCTACCTAGTTTCTTCCTTAACATGTCTAAGGTCTTAAAGTGACCATCCCATTTTTAGCTTGTTCTGTTGTTTATAAAATATCTCTTTATCAATCCCAAATTTGTCTTTCTGTAATTTTTGCCAGTTGAGTCTTGTTTTGTCTTCTGGAGTGACAGAGATTTCTAATACTCGTTAACATGCCAACTCTCAAAATACAGTTATTGTTGAAAGTCACACTCCATGGATCATTGCTGTTTCTGCATGTTTTTCCTGTAGAGGCACTGACAATATTTTGTTCTTTTCAAAGAGATTTGTTTAGAGATAGTATCTCCCTTTTCCTAAAATTGGCTGAGCAGGTTTGCTTGCAGCCCATTATGAAAGACTGGGTTTTCCTAAGCTCAGAGCTCCCCTCCTGTAATGCAGCCCATTGTGTGCGCAAGCACCATCTGGCTTTTTTTGTGTTGCCCTGTGGGAGTGTAGGAACTGGCACAGGAAAATGCTGATACTCAGTGTTGTGATTTCTGTAAATGATAAACTGTCCTTTGTCTCTGACCCAGAGGTCTTGTGTCTTCTGCCAGCATCCATGAAACTGTGGCAAACTAGTTATCCGGCAAGTAGGGTAAAATCTCAGATCCTTCATTGTTTTTGACAGTTATCATATTCCCCCAGGATAAACAATTCCAGCTCCTTCAACCACCCTATATAATTTTCACGTGCTTTGAATTATCTCTTATTCTTATCAAAAATTCTGGATGCTCTTCAGTTTGACCATCTCCTTGGTACCTAGAAAGGAAAATAATAGTTCATAGGTGGTCTGACTAAAATGAGGGGAATCAAATTATCACTTACTTTGTTTTGAAAACCACACGACTTTTTATACCTGACTCCGTCATTATCATATTCCT